GGATTTTGTCACTGTGTTTTATTTTATTTCTTGTTCAGTTTTACCCCCACTCCTTTATTACAGGGACAATACTGTGTTACCAAATCTCAGGATTTTATCACAAACTTTGTGATATGTGGTGTTTTTCTTTAAGCCCCAGCTGTTGGAGTCATCTGAATACATGAAAATCACAGTTTTCATTTTAAAAGCAGTATCTTTCTAGCCCTTCTAATTCAGTAGGAAACCTTGAAAATGTGACCCGAGTATGTCCTAAAGACTCCGAAACCAGTAGACAAATAAAAGAAACTCACCACTTATTTATTTTTTTAAATATCATGATTAAGCCAATTTCATGTTTTGTGAGGACCTGACGCATGTTTGTACACTTGTGTTTGGAAAGATTACAATGGCAGTTTTTTGTTCCTCATTTTCTTAAACAGGCAAATTAAATGTTTCCTTTCTCTTTACATCCTTATGTGACATGTTAAATAATTATTTAGTAGATGTGATCGTATATGACATGTTAAATATTTATTTAGTAGATTTGACTGTACATGCATATTGCTGCTACCGGCTGTGTGACAGGGTCGGTAGCTCACCGCTGTGGCGCCTCCTCCTGGCCGCTTTGGGGAATTAGTTTTGCGCCAGTAGAGCGCCCTCTGTGGGCAGCGTTCCGCCTGTCGTCTCGCCTTTGTGGGGTGCACGGACTTGCGTTGCTCCCGACGTCGGCGTCCTCTTCCGGAGCACTGCCCTCCGACAGTGTCCCCTTGTCCAATCACACCCCCTTTCAGGGGGGGGGTAAACAACAGCCCCACACCTTCAAGTCCAATCCCCACAGTCTAGGATCTGGTGTGGTTCTGACTGGCCGTTTCCTGCGGCCTGTGGCTGTGCGTGGGGTAGCACAGCAAACAAAGGGGGAAAAAGGGGGGGGGGGACCCAGGCCCGCCCACTACTCTGAGTCCCGATCCAGAGGCCCTCGTGTGACAGTCTCACTGTCTTCCTTCTCCTTCCTCCTCTGACTATCCCTCTGGACCGCTTCCCCAACAGCCCTTAGCTACGCTAGGCCTCCTCCTCCCAGGCCTGCCGCCTAGCAGGCTATGGAGTAGGGCCTTCTCCCACTCTCTCAGGCTGGCCTGCACTGCGCTGTCCGTGGTGCTGGCCTCCCAGCTCTGGAGATAGACCTTCCCCTCTGAAGGTCTGGGACAGACTGACTGCTCCTGCTCTGGGCAGCCTTTTATGTGGCTAAGCCGGGCCCTGATTGGCTGGCTCCAATCTGCCTCCTTATTGGCTCCCAGTAAGCCCTCTCCTGATTGGCCGCGCGTCTACGCAGGCGCCTAGGCCTGCCGCAGCCCAGTCTCTCTAGGTGTGGGGTAATCGCCCCACCACAGGCTGCATTGCAAAACAAAACATTTTTTTTTTTAATTTATCCAGGCATCTTGCTCTCTGGAGAAAATTTTAAGAAGCTTCATGAGTTTTTTTGCAGGGTTGGCTATATAATAGGAGTTATTTTTTGTGATATTTTGGCACGTCTTTCAGTCAAGGCATTCAGTCTTTTTTTAATCCATACCAAAGTGAACAAAACTTTTTGGAATTTGCAAAAAGATATGGTTTGAGGGATCAGAAGATTAGATCACGTTTTATTTTTTAACAAAGTAGGTCATCCATCCCCAATTACAATCCATCACTTGAAAATCAAACACCTGGGAAGGTATATCTGATTAACACCGTCATCATAGAAAAAACTGATGCTGTGCAAAGAAGTGTCACATCCAGGGCCCAAGCAATGAAATGTTAACCTCTTTTACGTTAAAAAAAAAAAAGAGAGAGACACACACACATATTTTTCCCTATTTGAATTTGAAACTGATTATACTTATACATCATGCAACAGAGGGAAGATGAAAGTCAAATGATAAATTCTGTTTCATAATGTCAAATTCTTGCTAACTGAACAATGCCTTTGTGATCCTCCAACTCCGAACAGGCTTTTAATACAAAACTGGACAAAGTATTTGAGAATATGATAGAGAGAACAATGGGTCTATATGTCCTTATAGGTCTATTACATCTGTAACCTAATGAGTTCTATAATATTGGGAAGAGTTTAGCACAGAACTAGATATGTATCTTAGCAGCAAGGCTTTACAAAGACATGGGGAAATTTACAGTCCTAGTTCTGGTTTCTGTTCATTTCTTGTTTTAAATTCTTCCACACATTGAAGGGTGATTTTTTTTTCCCATTAGAAGAAGGAAACAAGATTGAGTTTTTCTTCATTTACTAAGGAGACCACACCTATAAAGATTAAAAAAACATTAGGGACAGAGAGAATCATAAGCAGGAGACGGATCAGGCAGCAGAAGCTGGTTGTTGCTGATCCCTCGATTCGAGGAGGATCTCTACCACAGATTTACATATGAGTCCTGAGATGACCCAGGAGTCCAATCCTGGAACCACAGCATAAGCTATTAATTTAGCCAGTGACAATGATGGAGCTGCAGCATTCTTTCTCTGTCTCTCTTGTGGGTTATGCAGCAGCTGCACCGCACATTCTGGCATCGTGGTTTTCTATATTAACTACTATGCCTAGGTTTGACCCAGGAGGTTGGAAGAAGAGGAAACGAGGGACTGTACTGATAGCAGCAAGTCTTGCAGCAGTGAGTGCTCATAGACTATGACTGATTAAAATACTTTAATTAAGTTGTCAAGAAAGAATAAAGAATAATGGCTTTTAGTCATTTCTCACTCAAATGTAACTACTACTAGTATCTCTCTATCTATTACACAGATCAGGATAGAACAGCCTCTTCACCTGAAGCCAGTATTGCTCATCTTTCACTAGACATTGTGAGTAGGTAAGGGGAAGCATAGGTTAATGGACATTGACAGTTGTCCTCCCCGATTTCTGCCCGATTCTTTTGATATGAGCTGTTTGGTTCTTTCAGTAGTAACTGGAGCTGTACAATATTCACTGCTTATGGTCCATGATTGTATTTTTTACCAATTGCCACTCAGTAGCAACATTAACAATGCAAGGTTTCCGAGGTACCTCACAGTTGCTGTTTTAAACAGCATGTATGTCAGTAGGTGCCCGATGAGTGACGTGATTTATAATTAATCCAATTCCAGTGGTTATGAGTCAATCATACAGTGGTTTTCCATTTTAGATTGAATTAATTTTGAAACCTTCCTTTGTAGTTGGAAGGTAGGTTCAAAGACATATAAACCCTTTTTCCTGCTTTCCACTGCTGATATGAGGAGGTCATATTTTTCTCCATCACAGGTAAGTCTGTCTCTTGACTGTGGTAAATATACCTGTTGGCAAATGTTGATTCTTCAAGATCAAGGCTGAGATATTGCTCTGTGCCTTGAAGAGGTGTAGCACAGAACTTATAGTCTAGGGGGAGAGGGGCCTTTGGTGGTTTTAAGCCACCTTTGTGCCCCCTGGCGGCCTGTCTAAGTTATGACAGCCTGTCGCCAGCTGCATGTGAGTTGCAGCACTGCCCAGAATCTCTGTAGTACTACGTGCTACTGCTCTGTCCCCAACACACTCTTCCCACCCCCCAGCACGCCTCCTAAGGCTGGGCCAGTAAGGGGTTCTTCGGAAGACAACATTACAGCTGCCTTCCCCAGTTCCTAGATCAAAGGAATCCTCCCCCCATGCAGAACTGGTTTTAGAGCCCCTTTACACTCCTCCATTCCTTTCTCCCAACATAAAGGGGCCAGAGGAGGAGTGAGGATCTCACACCAAAGGAGATCTATGGGGGAGACTCTTATCATCACTTTTATGGGTCCAGTGTGTGCTAGATACTTTACAGGCACAGTTATTTCCTTCAAAGAGTTTACAATCTAAATGTAATTTTTGCTCCTCAGAAGTGCTGAGTGCTGGCAGTTCCCATTGACCTCAGTGTGGTACTTAACATCTCCGAAACTTAGGCCATTTATCTAGGTGCCTAAAAATAGATAGATTAGAGCTTGAAGTCTTTGGCATAATCTGACTGAGACATTGACCTGATTGTCATAAATTGTGATATTTCGCTATTCCTGTTATCAAAAATCACAGTTACACGACATTAACACTCTAAAGTGAATGTGAGCTTTTTAGTAACCTCCTCCTTAATTGCATTGTCATTCATTAGTACTTCATGTCAGTAGCTGCCATTTAAAAAAGTCAGCATTTTTCAACACTTCCCACACAGTGGTATCTTTATCCATATTTTTGCCTTAGACTGAGAACAGGTAATAGCTCTGGTAGATATAACTCATGGCACATGTTGACTTTGGAACAATAACCATGGTGCATAATTCTGTGCAGAAAAAAAGGATAATTGGAGGCCAATTTTAAATGTGTAACAGGTGTATCTGATTGTGAAGTGCTTTCAGATCTACCAGTGAAAACCAATATATGAGAGCTAGATGGTGGGTATTAATTAATAGCCAGTTGCATATGTACATGGTTCACCTCTTTATCCAATTTACATGTACAATTAATTGGGTTTGCAACCACAAAGGGTGCATCTTTGTTTTTAACTATGTATTTGTTCCTCTTGTGTTTAAATATTTGGATCTTGGTGTTGATTTTTGTCAGTGATTTTGAGGTGAAGGTTTTTCATTGAGAAACCAGGAGCTGGATTCTCTGATCACCTGAGAGGGACTAAGAGGTCAGAATCTTGCTGAAGATACCAAGTTAAGAATCCCACTTCCAATGAAAGAAAATTTTCAGCTGCTATAAAGCCAGAAGTACCCACTCCTGTGCCAAGCATTCTTCATGTTGGGTTTGGGAGAGAGAGCTCCCTTATGCTAATTCACAGCTGCAACATGGTGCCTTAGGGACCATAACAGTTGTAATATAGAGTAGTCCAAAGGCTGCTCTAAGTTCCATGGGGCAGTTTTAGAATCAGAGGTCCCTACTTGGCCCCAGATCTTTTCACTTTTTCATACTATTATACCATGCTTTTATTCACAATTTTTTAAAATACAGTTTTCTAAATTTTGTTTTCTTGTTTGTTTGTTTGTTTTTTAGCGCATACACGAGTAATAATCCATGGGTGAAACTAGGGACAGTCATGCTATCAAGATGCCCAACTGGGCAAAAAGAGAATATGGGAAATGAAATTTTGAAGATCTGTCGTTCTTTGTATGAGACTAAGCACGTGCTGCCCGTAGAGGTGAGTTGTAACTTCAAGTACCTTGCAGATATACCTGCACCTTGTACAGTGGATGCAGTATCACTATTAAAGCTCCTAGCTTTACTGGCCACACTTGAGTACTATTTAGCAAAAACTATTCAAGATAAGCACCAGTAACTTTCCACTTACTAAACATATAAAGTTGTCTGTAAGGAAGTGCTGAAATATTTGGGCTTTAATTAGCTTTTATTTTACAAGCAGTTCTTCTTTACAAGTACTCTAGTATTCCCTCTTCCTAAATTAATTATGTATACTCTCTTCCATACAAGCATCTCTTATGTCCCAAAGTGCCACAGCATCCCATACTCATACGTCATAGCCTAACCATATCAGATTTAAAAAATCATTAAAAATCTTTGCACTTCTCTGGAATTATTCCCAGGCATCTTCTTTTATTATCCTGATTCATCCTTTACAGTGAGATTCACATATCCACAGTCTTTGTTCCTGAAAATAGCCAACACGAAGATTATGGGCAATGTAATGGAAACTGATCAAATAATTCTTTTCACTTTAATACAAAACCAAGAAATCTCTTGTAGAAATTGAAGGGCAATACATTTTAAAACAAATGGGACACTTGTATTTTTGCCTCTTAAAGCCCACTTCTGGGACTTGCTGCCAAAAGAAGTCTGTAAGGCAGAGTGCCAGATATATTTTGTGGAGAGAGCCAAATTTAATTTTTAATTACAGTGCATGGGATAGACCTACAAAGGGCCCGATGCTTTCTCCTCACTCGTCATGAGAAATATTTTACACCACAAGTAGTTCTGATCAAAACCAGTGGGACTACTTCTACAGGAAGGTTCTATGCAAACTGATTAAGGGTGGCCAAACCAAAGTTAAGGTCTGAGGGTGGAATTTTCTAAAATATCTAAGTGACTTACGAACACAAATGTAACTGAAAATCAGTGTTCTACCACAGCAGATCTCCTCCTGATAGGAGGGTTACACCAAGGTCAAACATGGAGCATCTCTTTTTAATTAATAAAGTTACTGTTGAATTCAGCATCAGTAAGGCCTGGTCTGTGCACAGTTTTTATACTGGTATGACTGTTTCAGTTAGAGGTGCAATTTTTTACCAATATAATTTTACCAGTACAACCCTTAGTATGAGCATGTTATATCTTGTATAAAGGTGCCTTTATATTAGTGTAGGTTATTCTCCTCATATGGAAATAAAGTGCCTTTACACTGATATAATACACTAGGAAGCTGTACTGCTATAACTGAACCAGCATAGTTAAAAACAGTATAACTTTTGTGCATAGCAGCTAAAGCAGTGCAACTTTTGTGTAGACAAACCTTTACTGAGGAAAAAGTAATGTCGGGTAATTTAAGAATCATTGCTAAAACTATTTGATCAAAACTTGCATTTTGCAGAATCTGTCATTGGAGCCTATTAAATACTTTGAGTGGGGAGAGAAGCATAGATCAGCTGCTTTTTTTAAAAAAAGACTGGATAACTTTCTGACTTTGTGGTTCTGAAGTCTAAAGGCAATAATTGAAAAGGCGTTTAAACTTTATGATACGGGATGTTCACTGATGGCCAGGATGTTCACTGAGGTCAGGAAGAAATCTTTCTCTAAAGACACCATCATTACAGGAGGAACCAACTAGGGGCCATGCTCCTCTTGACCTGCTGCTCACAAACAGGGAAGAATTGGTAGGGGAAGTAGAAGTGGGTGGCCACCTGGGCAGCAGTGACCATGAGATGGTTGAGTTCAGGATCCTGAAAAAAGGAAGAAAGGAGAGCAGCAGAATACAGACCCTGGATTTCAGAAAAGCAGACTTTGACTCCCTCAGGGAACTGATGGGCAGGATCCCCTGGGAGGCTTATATGAGGGGGAAAGGAGTCCAGGAGACCTGGCTGTATTTTAAAGAAGCCTTATTGAGGGTGCAGGAACAAACTATCCTAAGGTGCAGAAAGAATAGCAAATATGGCCGGTATCCAGCTTGGCTTAACAGAGAAATCTTCGGTGAGCTTAAACACAAAAAGGAAGCTTTCAAGAAATGGAAACTTGGACAGATGACTAGGGAGGAGTATAAAATCATTGCTCGAGCATGCGGAGGTGTACTCAGGAAGGCCAAAGCACAATTGGAGTTGAAGCTAGCAAGGGATGTGAAGGGTAACAAGAAGGGTTTCTACAGGTATGTTAGCAACAAGAAGTTGGTCAGGGAAATTGTGGGACCCTTACTGAGTGGGGGAGGCAACCTAATGACTGATGATGTGGAAAAAGCTGAAGTACTCCATGTTTTTTTTGCCTCGGTCTTCACAGACCAGGTCAGCTCCCAGACTGCTGCACTGGGCAGCACAGTATGGGGGACGAGGTGAGCAGCCATCAGTGGTGAAAGAATAGGTTAAGAAAAGCTGGACATGCACAATTCCATGGGGCCAGATCTAATGCATCCGAGGGTGCTGAGGGAGTTGGCTGATGTGATTGCAGAGCCATTGGCCATTATCTTTGAAAACTCGTGGCAATGGGGGGAAAGGGTCCTGGATGATTGGAAAAAGGCAAATATAGTGTCCATCTTTTAAAAAGGGAAGAAGGAGAATCCAGGGAACTTACCTCAGTCCCTGGAAAAATCATGGAGCAGGTCCTCAACTAATCCATTTTGAAGCACTTGGAGGAGAGGAAGGTAATCAGGAATAGTCAACATGGATTCATCAAGGGCAAGTCATGCCTGACCAACCTGATTGCCTTCTATGATGAGATAACTGGCTCTGTGGATATGGGGAAAGTGGTGGATGTGATATATTTTGAATTTAGCAAAGCTTTTGACATGGTCTCCCACGGTATTCTTGCCAGCAAGTTAAAAAAGTATGAATTGGATGAATGGACTATAACAGGGATCGGCAACCTACGGCACGCGAGCCGATTTTGAATGGCACGCGGCTGCCTGCCGCGGTTCCGACCCCCAGCCGCACTCAGCCCCCGCGCCCACCGCTCTCCCTTGCTGGGGCAGGAGGCAGAAGCTTCGTCCTGCAGCAGCCAAGTTCCTCCCCTTCCCCGCTTTTTCCCCCAGCCGTGGTGCAGCCTGCTTTCCTGCCCCTCCTCCTCTCCTTCCCTGCGCTGGCCCTTGCAAAGGGAGAGGGGAGGAGTGGCAGTGTGCTCGCTGCTCCACAAAAGCCCCACGGCCCCGCTCTCCCGGCCGGAGCTCCAGCCAGCACACGGCAGCCCCGCGGCCCCTTGCTAAAGCCAGCCCTGTGTAAAGGAGGCAGAGGAGAGGTAGGGACGGGGCCTTGGGGAAGGGGGTGGAACAGGACATATCCCTTCCAGACCCCTGCCATGAGCCACTCAGGGCAGGGGGCTGGGAGCACCCCCACGAGCCGAGCACCCCAGCCCTCTGCCCTGAACCCCCCCACACCCCCAGCCCT